ACGCCTCCCCGCGACCCCCCTCCGCCGGGCCTCCCGCGCTGAAACGACGCCTATTCATCTTTGTATTCCCAGCGCCAAACACGGGGCCTGCCAACGGAGGCCCCATAAAAGGCAGCCATTGTCTTTGTCGTGTTGGGGGAGGCGGGGGCGTAAATGTTTACGAGTTGAATTCCAGTGTCTCCTGGAACAACGGGGTCAGTCTGCTTCCCCCGAGTTGTTCTGTTCAGGGATTTAGAAGCACTGGCTGCGCGGGACAGTGGAAGTCAGACCTGTGTGTTCACAGCCCTCCCTGACGGGCGTGACCTCATAATCGCCCCTGAACTCGGGGAAGGGGACAAACACCTGTTGAGCCACTGTCCTAGGCCAGGCCGGAGCCGGGCGCTCGGACATCTGTCATCTTTCCTGAATCAGAGGCACTGTGAGATGCTGTGGCGCCTCAACGGAGGCGCGTGCTGTTCAGTGGAGACAGGATTTTAACTGGTGTCTTCTGCCTATAGACCCTGAGACTCCAGGATAACAGAGTGAGGATAACGCAGAAGGAGAGGCTGAGATCACCCTGAGATTCCATAATAACAGAGTGAGGATAATGCAGAAGGAGAGGCTGAGATCACTCTGAGATTCCATAATAACAGTGAGGATAATACAGAAGGAGAGGCTGAGATCACCCTGAGACTCCATAATAACATAGGATAACGCAGAAGGAGAGGTTGAGATCTGGGTACCAGTCCAGTGTCCACAGACAGATGTGGGTCCATAAAACTTTTTTTTTAAGAGAGAGAAACATCAGTTTGTTGTTCTGCTTATTTATACATTCATTGGTTGATTCATCTCTCCCCTTATTTATACATTCATTGGTTGGTTCTTTTATGTGCCTTGACCCGAGATCGAACCCGCAACCTTGGCATACCGGGACAAGACTAACCCATGGAGCAACCCGGCCAAGGCCAGGCTTTTTCTTACATGTGGCTTATCTCAGGCGGGGAGTTCATACCTTTCATTACATTTTTTTTTTTTCCATAGAGGTCAGTCGCCTCAGAAAACGTTCGGGGCCATTCATTGACCCACAGCTAATTAGCCACCTTCGGCGTCCCAGCCTCTGACTCTCGGCCGCCCATCTGATTCATGGTGGAATGACACCGTGCCACCGTAGTTTCAGATGCAGTTGTCACCCCCAAGCGGCATCGCTTCTTGGTGCAGGATTCCCACATTCCCCGGGCTGACAGGCCCTCAGCAGTCACCGCGGCCTGGGGCTCCTTGACGGCCCCGCTCGGCCCCCAGGCTGAAGCCGGGCATTCTTTCCTGGCTCTGATCTCCTCTGTGCCCCTAGGAGCTCGAGGCCATGAGCAGGTACACCAGCCCCGTGAACCCCGCCGTCTTCCCCCATCTGACCGTGGTGCTGTTGGCCATTGGCATGTTCTTCACCGCCTGGTTCTTCGTGTATCCTTTCCGCTGAGCAGCGGGTGGGCCGGAGTTGGTGATGCGGGAGACGGAGGCAGGAGCCATGCTGGGTGCACGCGCCCTGCCAACGTTTCCCTGGTGTGGGGAGGGGAGGTTGAGAGAAGGCCGTTGCTGTTCCAAGGTGAGGGTGTGGCTGTATTTTTCAAGTTCTGGTGAGCTCGGTTTGCTCCTCAGATGCCTAGGACAGTGAGCAGAGGGTCCGGCTGGAGTAGAGGAAATGGGGGAGTAGATGAAGGGGTGCCCTCTGGTGCCAGGAGGTCTGAGGACTAGTCCAGCTCCACCGTTTATTTGGGTAAGTATCTAACCCCCTGGGCCTCATTTCCTCCTGGGTAGTAGAGGGGTTGCATGGAGCCCCAGCCCAGGTCTGTCTTGGCCTCTGCCTGGCTGCGCGAAGCCGGACAAACCTCCCAGAATTCCGTAGCCGTGCCTTGCTCCCCGAGTTGCAGTGGCCATGCCTCCTGCTCCGTGCAGGCCATGCCTGAGCTTCTCCTTAACCGTCTCGCCAGCTATGAGGTCACGTCCACCAAGTACACGCGGGACATCTACAAGGAGCTGCTCATCTCCTTGGTGGCCTCGCTCTTCATGGGCT